CTATTTTAGAAATATAATGGCATAGTGTTCAGTTTCTCTCAACATAATTTCAAATTTAATATCATTCCAATAAATAAAAGTTGAGTTTATATCTATACATGAAACCTGAAAAACTATTCTAAAATGCATATCCTTTTGTATGTTAAATATAGTTTATAATCCAAAAATATGTAGACTCTAACTGTAGGCAGCTTTTTATAAAAGAGAGAAGTGTCACAGCTTTGGCAGTGTCATTAAGATGCATCTTGTTATTTTCCAATAAAATGCTTGCCAGGATTTTAGTCTTAAACTACCTAGTTTACCTCTCTACCTGTAATACACAGTCTGCCAAAAATGTCTGCACACTTCAAGAAAAGAAAAACTTGTACAAATATTTTAATACTAAATTTACTGAGCCATCATGAGATTAATGCAAGTTGCCTTTGGCCTCTACAGTTACAAGCGGTGCTCGAAGTGGTGGCCATGAGCTCCCCGACGTGTATTAGCACGGCGAGCTGCTGCTTGGGTGACCTTGGTTATTGAAATGCTGCGCGTGCTTTTTCAATTCCTTCTCTACAGGCGGCAGCGTGGTGGGTTTTCCGAGATATGTGACATCCTCTACGGTCCCCCATGTAAGGATAACATCATCTGTTGAAAAAACATCGCGCTGTTGTTCTTCTCCTGAAGCGTGTGTACATTTTTGGGGCAGACTTTATAAGCATGTAACCATGTATCTGAATGTAGCCAGTGTTTGGGTTTATTACGATTGACAGCCTTAACTAAATTCTGTCTTATTTAGCTAATTTTATTTTATCATTAGAGTCACAAATACAACAGGGAAGTCATGATGATTCAATTACTGCTCTAACCGATAGCGTAGGATTCTTGTCGCATCACCCTCTCGTGCGCTTTCCTCGGAACTTCCTCGCTCAGCGGGATTTCTCCATCATCACATGTAATAGCTTGAAGTTTCTGTCTGAAACATAAGATAAAAGCACAAAACTGAGGCTGATGCAAGGTAAGTTTTTAGCAGAAAAGCACAAGACAGGTGATCACCAGCTCTAATCTTGTTAGGTTTTCTCCCCTGGGCAAAATGTCCTTTCCAGTTCTACTCGAACTGAACAATTGTCAATTAAATCACATCTAGGAGCTGCACCAACTGGGAACGAGCTAGGACAGACCTTCATATGCTTAAATAATTAGGACGAACCCTTTTTAGAGCAGTGTGAATGATAGAATTTATTGACAGAAAACCACGCAAGCCAAATTACAAGGGATGCAAATTTTCCATCCATATTTAGACAAAGAGGCAAAATCCAATTGGAAGATGTTTAATTCCGATGAATCCTAGGTATTAAAATGAGAAAAGCAAGAGGAAGAAAAAAACAATAAAACGAAATTAAGAGAAAAAAAAACAGAGGTAAAAGAAAGTTAAATAAGGCAAAGGTAGTAAGTAAAATAAAAAGAGATAATTTAAAATAGATAAATCCTATGGATGATGAGTTACTCTGGGAAAAAAGGATAAAAGAGAAGTGCAGAATCATTACCAATAATCATTATCAAAAGCAGCCCCTACAGCAAGATATACAAAATGCTTGATAATTATGTAGTATGCTAAAATGAAATAATAAATTATTTTTAATGAAATCAAATGAAAAATGTTTTTCGTTAAAATGCCACCCACCTGTCAATATTGGCATTAAAATATTAAAAGGCTCTTATCGCCTTCTCTGAGAAAGAACATGTTACAGTAAGGAAATAAGTCTGGGTTGCAAGTTCTGTTTCATGCATCAGTATCTCACATGAGTTAAAGTAGGCAGTCTATTTTTAAATATCCTTTTGGGATTTCGCTCTATTACTCTAACATCAGAGGCGACGGTGTGACAGCGCCACTGCGCTGAAATGGCAGCCCGCATGGAGACCTCAAGGTCTGTATCAAGTACTTTCCCGCCTCTGCCTTTCTGTCCTCACGCAAGCCCTGTGAGCTCGTGGCTGATAGATAACATGCTCTCAAATGTGAGGGAGCTGTGGAGTGGAGCATACAGCCTCAGACCTCCTAACTGGCAAAGCTGGACACTGTGTTGCGAATTCTGAATCCCTGTATGCTGTTAATGTGTACGTGATCTACCATCTTACATGTCCCTATATAAAATTATTCATTTCCAAGATCTAAACATAAAATCATTAGCTGCATTTTTTAAATGAAACCAAATATGTTTACAGCGATATTTGCACACAAATGTAAGGAACAAAATACAAAAGATGTCTAAATCAGGATGAAAATGCCAAATTCTTATTTTATATTAAATATATATTATTGAGGTCATGAGTATGACATATATAACACATGTATGCATATAACATTTTAGCATTTAATTAACTTAATATATAATTTCAGTTGTTAGAAATAAAAAAGGCAGCACTGCCACTATCTCACGGTGCATCCGGAAGTGTATGCACCATGACAAGCTTTCCAGGGTATTTAGTTCAGTATCTTTCATCAGCTCTTATCAAACATTTTACTACCCTGCTACTTTAGTTTATAGTAAATATTTTATTTAGCTCTCCATTGTAAATAAAGTAAGGAAAATTATTCATTGTAAATAAAGAACATGGCAAAACATTAAAATCTGCATGATTGCTGGTCACTTGGTCTCTCCCTCCCCCACCCCGTCCTCTTCCTCCTCCCCCTTCTTTCTTTCTTACTTAAATGACTAAAACCTGTAGGTTCAATTTTTTTTGCCTTGTTACCTTTATATGACTCAGAACTTTATCGATAGAGATAGATAATTTTTCCCTCTCTTTGGTGAGAATTGACCCTAAGGTCTCCACACGTAGCTATACCCTCCAGTCCTTTATGATCATTTTAAAGTTGTTATTATTATTTTAGCAGTTTTTTTAAGCCCTAAGTACCCTAACCTGGGCTGAAACTTGCAATCCTCCTGCCTCTGCCTCATAGAATTCTGATAGTATAGGCATGTACCACACCTGGGTCTTCATTATATCTATAGAATAATCAAATAATTATAGAATTTGGTTTTTTTTAAGTCTAGTGACATGACTTTATATTTTGCAATACTTAGCAAATGTAACTGCTTCATGTGATCTGTTCTTTAACTGACATTCTTCTCATGCTGTTGTCTGCTCTGCTTCAGTTTCCCATCCCATCTTTAGTTCCCAGCCCTCCCCTCCGACAGCTTCTCAGATCTTTTGTTTTGTTTTGCACAGTTCAGTTTGGCTTTCATTTTGTGCTCTAGTGAGAAATGCGACACTTCAGCAGGTAACAACCATGTTACCCTTGGGAAAACCCGAGTCACCATTTATTATCACATGACTCAGGGCAGGGCTGGTGCTCCTCACACTGCATAAACGACTATAGTCCTCCAGGAGCTGCTAGTCCAAGAGGGAAGAATGTGTACTGCCCTTGAAAGGAACAAGACCTTCTCCATGTTGCTGCTCATCAATTAGTTGATTTCAAGAAAATATTTCCTGAAGACCTAGTTCATCCAAAATACAAAGGGAAGAGCCCCATTTTCTCAAGGAAGTTATCTTTGTACAGTGAAGAAGTATGCGAAGAATTAGATAGATACCTTTAGAGTAAAATTTGGACAAAGTCTACTGAAACATTAAGTAGGCCTCCACCAGTTCTGATGGGGAATTACTCAGAAGCTGATATTTGAATTGACTCTAAAAAAGTAGAATATTAATTGATGGTAAGAGCACCACCTGGAGAAATGAAAAAGTCATTCAAGAAGAAAGGAATAACATACAAAAAGACACAGAAGGGGGAAATAAGTTTCCAAGTACATGGAACAGCAAGCGAGCAAATTGTGTGGTTGCAGGATGAGTCAGGAAGTGAGCGGAAACATGTGACTCAAAAGATGCCAGAACAAGACCCTGAGGATTTTGAACAATAAAATAAAGATTTGAAACCCACCATAAAAAAAGAGAGCCCTGGGTATTCATTTGCTGAAAAAAGTGACATGATGTTCTCTTGTCTTGTGTAAAAATTCACAGCTACACTTTCCTTTGTTGTCTGTACCTTCCCACCATAACCCTTCCAACACCGCCCTTTCCCTTGGGTTACCTGTGAGTGAGTTTGGCTTCCCACTCCTGGGAGGCATTTCACTGCCCCGTCAAGGCTTACGGGACTCTCCCAGGCTGGGCTGTGTACTGCAGCCCCCTTCCTGGCTTCTGTCAGGATATATGTATATAGTTTTCAGATTCTTGTCTGAAAATCATCTTTTTCTCATAACTGTTCTCCTGCTTAAATTCCGAGAGAATTTATCCTTAAATTTGGGGAGAATTTATCTTTGGCTTTGCTGTCTGCAGTGTCTTTCCAGTGTGTTGTCTTCTAGGTGCTTAATGAAGCTAACTGAATGATCGGCCATGGTAGGAAACCATATAACATGGTTGGAAAATTTGTCCGCACCTCAGAAGGTACACTAAAGACACAACAGAACCATGTTAGGAATAATAGCTAGGAGTCCACTGTTGTATGGGAGAATGAGATGTTAAGATGAGTGGAGAAATGAAAATGAGACACCAAAAAGAGAAAGCTGATGAGAGGGGGTGAGGCAGGAGTGCTGTTCTGAAGATGCCCCCAGATAATGTGAGGAAAAGTTGTGCATTATCCCATGTAAAGATGGTTTTACCAAATACAAATGAATTTTCTTTTTGCTAAACTTGATGTGCCTATCAGCGGATCCATATTTTTAAAATACTCATCTAGAAATTTTAGTCATTCATCCTTAAAGCAGAAATGCAGGATACTGTTTATGTTGTCATTCTGTTGTCTAAAAATTATCCTTCAGCGCATTTGAACTGTCATACTTCAAGAGTCTGTAACAATGAAAAAACCAACAGAGTTAAATATCTATCTGGTCATTTTCCTTAGAAGCAATATCTAATATTTCCCACTAATCTTATGACTTGGGAGTTCAGAAGTTCAAGTTCTGTTTGCATCTTGCTCAAATGATTCCAAATTAACGATGTGTTATGTCTCTCTTGCCTCTCCACAGTATGCTGTCTGGCTAGTCCTCTGGGTTACGTGGAATGTGTTTGTTATCTGCTTCTACTTGGAGGCTGGGGACCTCTCAAAGGTAATCTCCCATCTGGTTTGCCTGAGTCACCAGTAGTCAGTCTGTTGACAAATCTCTCCTCAGAAAGCAGATCCACCATGCCCTCGTCACCTTAACACTCTTGCATGGAGGTAAATGGAAAGGTGTCCCAGCTTGGATCTCTGCATCAGAGACATATTTTCTGTGTCACAGAAATGGGCTTTTGTGTTTTAATTTAAACTGATGTGAATTGTTGATTATGATAATGACCATGCAGTGTGCTTTTTCTAAAATAAGTTGAGAGGTTTCTGAAGATGAATAGGAATTTTTCAGAATGGAATATCTTGACTTCTTAAATCACTTAGTTCGGTTATTTTTCTGCTAATCCTGTTCCTTATTGACCCAAATAGTAAAGCAATAATTCAAACAATTATGGTGTTTTAGCAGAATTAGGATATAATTTATTACTGAAATAAGTAACATTCATAATCCTAATGTTGTATAGAAAAGACTGACAATATTTGTCTTTTTTTCACTAAGATTTCTTTTCTTTTTCTTTTTTTTTTCTGATACCGGGGATCGAATGCAGGATCTTGTGCTTGTGAGGCAGGTGGCAGAACCACTGAGCTAAATCCCCGGCCCTAAGATTTCTTTTTAACTATGTGTGTACATGTGTGTGTTGTTGTTATATATTTCACATGAGTGCCTTTGCAGTTGAAATCTTTGCAGTTGATCTCTAAAACTACTATTCTTCTTCCACTGGAACACAAAGAACACTGAATACATTTATTAGGTAATCCACTCAAAATAGTAATAAATCTTGATTCCTGAGAGAGTTTTAAGCTTGTACTTTCTACTAATTTTGAAAGACAAATTATAAAATGTTCTTTTAGATACTTCCTTATAAAGCAAAATTCCCCTGAAAATACGCTGATATTTTTAAAGCTCAAAGATGATCACATGGTGTAAAAGGCTAAAAGAGTTAAAGGAAGAGGAGGAATAAGAGGAGGGAAGAGAAGAGCAGGAAATATGTTTCCCAGAAACTAAATTACTGCTTTGTAGGGTGTACATTTTGGCAGGATAGAGGAGGGAATGGCAATGCACATTTACAGTCTAGCACACAGGAATTTCACGAAGTGCTCAACATGTTTGATGATGTTTGTTGTGACACTTAAAGTGAAGTACCAAGTTGACTGGCTTGAGAGCAACCAAGAAAACACAATTCTGGGTGTGTCTAGGTGGTCCTGGAGGTGTGACCCTGGGTAATGCTCATGGTCCTTGGTCCCTTGCTCTCTGGCCCCTTTCTACTGTTCTGCTTTCCAGTTGCCATGAACTAAGTAGCTTACACACCCCTTCACCATAGTGTTTCTGCCTTAGACCAGCTGATTATGGACTAATTCCTCTGAAACCATGAGCTGAGTAAAGTAAGCCTAACCTCTTTAAATTATGGTGTCTGGAATTTGTTTCAGCAATTGAAAGGCTGACCAGTGTATTCATTTATTATTTCACTGAGATATGTGGCATCCATTCAAGCAAAAAATAATCTTGATTTATTTTGGTTCATTAACAAGAGATAAAAAGGTAGAATAAAATGGTGACATTATGGTTTGATATAGAATTGACTCTGATGTGTTTTGCTTTATGATCAAACGATTGGCATGGCCTGCACAAGCTGCTCTGGTAGATGACATTTCTGTGACTCTTGCAGAGAACCATTCTCCATACATGTGGTAGTAGCACTCCTTTTCAGGAAGGAACTGTGACCAATGAAAGAGATTGTTCGGGCTGCTCAGATAGGAATTTTACTGAAAACTCGCTTGATTCCATGCAAAGCAAAACAAAACAAAACAAAAAACTGATGTGCCTTCCAACAAAGCCTCTGAATTCCACACCCAGTCTCTGCTACTCTATCATGTACTTTCTTCAAAGAAATTCTATACTGGAATGACATTTAATAGTATTTTTAAATTTAAAATAATCACTTTAACAATTGTAAGGGTGGTACTCAGGAATATTGCTGGACTAAAATGATTCATCAGCTAACAGAGATCCTTATTTTTATTTCACGTGTTTATTTGTTTATTTTACTGGCATAAGTTTGAGACACACCGTAATAGCATTAATCTTGGGAAATTGGTTCATGTACATATCACATCCTGAACATCGCTGCTTCCTCTTCTCCTCTTAACACTCCCCTCTTCACTCTTCCCCAGATCCTCTTTTCATCTCCACACAAAGCACTCCCCTATGTCCTACCATCTTTTGTATTGTTATTCCAAGTACTGATAGTTTGTGTTCCTCATATTAGAGAAACTATGTGGTATTTAAGCTTCTGTGCCTGACTTACTTCACTTAGCATTATGGTCTTAAGAGTTATCCATTTTCCTGCAAAGGACTCAGATCTGTCCTTCTTGGTGGCCGAGTAGTAATCAAATATATAAATATATATATGACTCATTATTGTTGAATTAATATATACACATATTTTTTATTCACTCTTTGTTTTGGTAGAGTTTTCAGCATAACACTTAAAAAACACATGAAATAAAGCTTTCTGTGAAAGCGCACTACATAGTATCTATAAGCACAGAATAAAGCTTGGAATCTCATGACCTGGAAGAAGAGCCTCTACTTGGGGCACCTCCTACAACTTTATTGTTCAAGAGAGATTCGATCTCGAGGACTAAGAGTTCATTCAATGCTCACAGGCAGATTATGATGATCCCCTGGCGATGAGACACTTAATATATTCTTTTATGATCATTTTATAAACCAAGGCTAGGCTCTGCAGAGCACAGGAAAATTTAATGATTTCCTTTTAACAAATAATCTAAAATAAAACCCTGAAAGACAAAGTTAATTACCTATGCTAGCTTTTTCTTCCCTTTCTTGCTCAAAGGGCATGAGTGGTGTAGTAATGTCATTTAATCTTTAGATGTTGCAACAGCTTCCCATTCTCCAAGTAATGCAATGCCAGAGGAAGGAATGATGATCAAAAAATGTGCGGACACATGAAAGCTCAAAATGGCACTCTTGAGACCGCTTATAATACTTAGATTACAGAAGATGAACCTTTGCTTTTCTCAGTGAGCTGAAAGAATAAAAGGGTGTGCCCTCAGTACACCTGGGTCAGTTAGTCTGATGCTCAGGAATAAATGTGGGAAACACAATCCGTAGCAAAATCTTGTGGTCCTTATGCCTATGTAAGAGGTGTGATTATTTCCATAAAGTGTTTTTGCAAATAGGTCATTGTCTCATAACAAGTGTTATCAAGAAGTGATAAAACATTAAGACAAATTTTAATTATCTCTTTAGAGTTCAATTTTTTTATGTCTTATATTTTTTGATTTTTTTCTTAGTATATGTTTGTGACACATAACAATTACATTTATCTCAGTAAATTGATATGTATACATATCAAATCACTGTGTCAACATTCTCTGCAGTGTTATTTGTTTTCATCTATAAACCATTTTCCATATACTAATGGGTTGAATACAGAATCGAATCATTAAGCAATTCAGTGTGCACATTCAGCAGTGAAATAATTTACGGTGTGAAGGACTCACCCATTTGCTCTTCAGCTTTCTTTGTAGACATTGTATTATTAATATATTTCCTTTATTGAAATTTCTATGGAAATTCAACATTACTAACATTTTCAGTTGATATATTTTAATTATTATCTCTATGAAATACAAGGGAAACTAAAGTTAGTTTTATTTTTTCAACCAGAGAAATGGCCTTTAAAAAGTCAGTTTTGTCAGTTAAACTGACAAAATAATGGGAATGTAACACAGGAGAGCAACAAAAATAAACATTGCATAATACTTATTTCACATTATTTATATTAATACTTTAGATATTAGTATTAAAACTAAATATCCTAAAGCATCCTCCAATGTGTCAATGTTTCCTGGGTTGATATTTTAAAGGATGCCTTGTTAGGAAACCAAGATGAAATTAGCCTATAACCAAAGTGTTTACTGACTTCGTTGGGAATTAGCCTTGAACACTGAATGTTGTATGGACTGTTGAGTAACAGTTTTGAGAATTCTTCATACAGGTGTACTATTTTGGTGAACTATTCTTGGCAGTTGTGGTTTTGATCGTGTATTTTTAATGGAGAGAAATCAAAGCTCATTCCATCCATCAACATAGTTAATTGGAAAACAGGAAAGATATGCTGTTTGTTTTGTAGTAATTTTTAACTTTAAAGTACATAACACAAGTGGAGCACATGTATTATGTGTATTCATCTTTTCAGTTAATCACTCAGGAAAATAAAATGTATGAGAAATTTTTAATAGTGACACATAGACAAAACCGTGCTCTTCTGCTATCTTAAAAGTTTGCTTTGTCAGATGTGATAAAATTGGAATCTAATCAGGTTGAAATTATATTCTAACACTTTTTCTCAAATGACTATTTTGATATCTCAATTTCTGTTTTGTAATATATGTAAATGGCATATCTTTAAAAAAAAACAATAACTGTATAGAGCATGCAGGAAAAACCAAGGGAGTATTTTACAGTTAAAACAGTGCAATTTATTTTTACTTAAGCTTACGAAAGTAGAGACACAGGGACATATTTCCCAGTTTTCAATATACATTGGAAATATAGCTGTTAAATATAGCCAAAAATAACTAATTATAAGTAGTGATATGTATGTTTTGGAATGAACACCTTTAGAAACAACTTGTAGAATGCTGTCAGTTTTTAATATAATTTTAATAATTGCTTCTGAGATCTCATTATACATTATTTTTTAAACTTGCCATATAAAAAAGCCATGTACAAATATGGCCTACTTAGAGAATAAATTATACTCTGCTGAATGTAAGAGACAGGAAGAAGATCAAACCTGTCTTACACTGTAGGTGATAGGGAGTCCTGAAAACTAGTTGCGAGTCTATGAGGAATAACGTGCTATTGCAAAATTCACCATTTTATTCTTTCTATAATAAAATGAAGCATTCATTTAGAAAGGTATCCAATATTTGGATATTTTCTTCTCAGTGGAACTAATGCTTATATAA